TTTTAGGTTTTTTGGGGGGTTTTTTTGGGTTTTTTGGGGGGTTTTTTTTGGGTTTTTTTTAGGTTTTTTGGGGGCTTTTTGGGGTTCTTTGGGGGTTTTTTTGAGTTTTTTGGGGGGTTTTTTGGGGTTTTTTTTGGGGTTCTTTGGGGTTGTTTTGGGCTTTTTGGGGTTGTTTGGGATTTGTTTTGGGGTTGTTCAGGGTTGTTTTGGGTTTTTTTTGTTTTTTGGGGGTGTTTTGGGTTTTTTGGGGGTTTTTTAGGGTTTTTTGGGGTTGTTTTGGGGGTGTTTTTTGGGTACAAACCGGGGGTTTTGGGGGTTTCCAGGTGTGGGACGTGACCACCCAGGACCTTTGCGCCGGCTCCGCCTCCCTGGACGGGTTCAGGGGTCTCGTTTTTGTGGGGGGCTTCAGCTACGCCGACGTCCTGGGCTCTGCTAAAGGTGAGGGTTTGGCCCCAAAAACGACCCCAAAAAAACCCCAAAATCCGAAAATCCCGAATTCCATAAAAACGGGGGAAAAAACCCAAAAAAACTCCACAAAAATCCCACAAAAAATCCCGAAAAAATCAAACAAAAAACCCCCAAAAATTCCCTTTAGTTTTGGGGGTTCAGCTGTGCCGAGAACTTGGGGTCTTCTGAAGGGGAGGATTTGGGGCTTTTCACCCCAAAAACGACCCCAAAAAAACCCAAAAAATCCTAAAACCCCAAATTCCATAAAAATGGGGAGAAAACCCCAAAAAACCCCACGAAAGTCCCACAAAAAACCCCAAAATTTCCCTTTTTGTGGGGAGTTTTGGGGCTTCAGCTACGCCGACATCCTGGGCTCTGCTAAAGGTGAGGGTTTGGCCCCAAAAACGACCCCAAAAAAACCCCAAAATCTGAAAATCCCAAATTCCGTAAAAACAGGGGAAAAACCCAAAAAAATCCCACAAAAAATCCCATAAAAATCAAACAAAAAACCCCCAAAATTTCCCTTTCGTGGGGAGTTTTGGGGGTTCAGCTGTGGTTCTGCTACAGGTGAGGATTTGGGGCTTTTCACCCCAAAAACGACCCCAAAAAAACCCCAAAAATCCTAAAATCCCAAATTCCATAAAAACGGGGAAAAATCCCACAAAATTTTTCCCAGTCGTCCCCATTTTTCTGATTTTTCCCCATTTTCCCCGTTTTTCCCCCATTCTTTCCCATTTTTCCATTTTTTCCCTGTTTTTCCCCATTCTATTCCCCATTTTTCCCATTTTTCCCCCATTTTTCCCTTTTTCCCCGTTTTTCCCCCATTTTTCCCATTTTTCCCCATTCTTTTCCCCATTTTTCCTCATTTTCTCAATTTTTCCCCATTTTTCCCCATTTTTCCCTGTTTTCCCCCATTCTTTCCCCATTTTTCCCATTTTCCCCCATTTTTTCCCCAATTTTTCCCATTTTTCCCCATTCTTTATCCCATTTTCCCCATTTTCCCCATTTTTTCCCCATTTTCCCCATTGTTTTCCCTATTTTCCCCCATTTTTCCCCATTTTCCCCATTCTTTCCCCATTTTTCCCATTTTCCCCCGTTTTTCCCCCATTTTTTCCCCATTTTTCCCCATTTCCCCCAATTTTTCCCATTTCCCCCCGTTTTTCCCCCATTTTTTCCCCATTTTCCCCATTCTTTCCCCATTTCCCCCCATTTTCCCCATTCTTTCCCCATTTTTCCCATTTTCCCCCATTTTTTCCCCATTTTCCCCATTTTCCCCCATTTTTCCTATTTTCCCCCGTTTTTCCCCCATTTTTTTCCTTTTTTTCCCCATTTTCCCCATTTTTTCCCCATTTTTCCCATTTCCCCCCCTTTTTCCCCCATTTTTTCCCCATTTTCCCCCAATTTTTCCCGTTTTTCCCCCATTTTTCCCCATTTTCCCATTCTTTCCCCATTTTTCCTATTTTCCCCCATTTTCCCCATTTTTCCCCATTTTCCCCATTTTTCCCCATTTTTCCCCATTTTCCCCATTTTCCCCATTCTTTCCCCATTTTTCCCCATTTTCCCATTCTTTCCCCATTTTTCCCAATTTCCCCCATTTTTTCCCCATTTCCCCCCATTTTCCCCATTCTTTCCCCATTCTTTCCCCATTTTTCCCCATTTTCCCCATTCTTTCCCCATTTTTCCCATTTTCCCCCATTTTTCCCCATTTCCCCATTCTTTCCCCATTTTTCCCGTTTTTCCCCCATTTTTCCTCCATTTTTCCCCATTTTTCCCCATTCTTTATCCCATTCTTTCCCCATTTTCCCCATTTTTTTCCCATTCTTTATCCCATTTTCCCCCATTTTTCCCCATTTTTCCCATTTTTCCCCATTTTTCCCCATTTCCCCCCATTTTCCCATTCTTTCCCCATCTTTCCTATTTTCCCCCGTTTACCCCCATTTTTTCCCCCATTTTCCCCATTTTTTCCCCATTTTTCCCGTTTTCCCCCGTTTTCCCCCCATTTTTTTCCCCATTTTCCCCATTTTTTCCCCATTTTTCCCATTTCCCCCCGTTTTTCCCCCATTTTTTCCCCCATTTTCCCCATTCTTTCCCCATTTTTCCCATTTTCCCCCATTCTTTCCCCATTTTCCCCATTCTTTCCCCATTTTTCCCATTTCCCCCGTTTTTCCCCCATTCTTTCCCCATTTTCCCCCATTTTCCCCCAATTTTCCCCATTCTTTCCCCATTTCCCCCCATTTTCTCCCCCGTTTTTCCCCATTTTCCCATTCTTTCCCCATTTTTCCCTATTTCCCCCCATTTTTTCCCCATTTTCCCCATTCTTTCCCCATTTTTCCCGTTTTCCCCCGTTTTTCCCCCTTTCCCCATTCTTTCCCCATTTTTCCCGTTTTTCCCCCATTTTTCCCCCATTTTTCCCCATTTTCCCCATTTTCCCCCGTTTTTTCCCCATTTCCCCATTCTTTCCCCATTTTTCCCCATTTTTCCCATTTTCCCCCGTTTTTCCCCATTTTTCCCCATTTTTCCCCATTTTCCCCATTTTCCCCATTTTCCCCCATTTTTCCCCATTTTTCCCCATTTCCCCCCATTTTCCCCATTTTCCCCCATTTTCCCCCGTTTTTTCCCCATTTTCCCATTCTTTCCCCATTTTTCCCCATTTCCCCATTCTTTCCCCATTTTTCCCATTTTTCCCCATTTTCCCCCATTTTTCCCCCATTTCCCCATTCTTTCCCCATTTTCCCCATTTTCCCCATTTTTCCCCATTTTCCCATTCTTTCCCCATTTTTCCCGTTTTCCCCCGTTTTTCCCCCGTTTCCAGGCTGGGCCGCCTCCGTCCGTTTCAACCCGCGGGTCCGGGCGGAGCTGGAGCGGTTCCGGACGCGGCCGGACACCTTCAGCCTCGGGGTGTGCAACGGCTGCC